TTGCGCGCGGACCGGACAAATCGCACTCTCGCCTGCATTTCGCGCACTCCACATGCACGATCTCCGCAGAGGGTTGCACTTTCGGTTGACGCTGTTCGTCCCACACTCCGCCTTTAAGAGAGAATTTATAAAGTGGGGAAATGTTTTTTCATTAGAACATCTCCCGTGCTAGTTTTCCATATTTACCATACTCACACTTGCCCTTGCATAGTCATTGCATGCTTGCATACTCACACTTGCATACTTTGACCCTGGCAATACTTCGCACTTGGATGCTTTCGCCCTGGTATACTTCGCACTTGGATGCTTTCGCTCTTCCAGTGTGTGTGTATGTGTGTCAGTGTGAGTGTCGAAGTGTAAGTGTGTCAGTGTGAGTGTCGAAGTGTAAGTGTCGAAGTGTCAGTGTTCAAAGGATTTTCCGGAAGAACCCTTCGCAATGCTTTCGGGAAATAGAGTCCAACAGGGAACCATGAAAATACATGTTCTGAACAAGGTACCGGTAGATGGGGGGAGACTAAAGGAAACAATATCATCAAACCCAACATTAAAAGTACCTATGATTGCCTGTGATATGCTTATGTTGGATGTCAGTACCCTTTTCACCTTGATCCTGACCGTCCACACCCCAAACCCCAAGATACCAAGAATCGCAAATCTGAAAGTCCTTTCCTTCATCCGAGAAGGTCGGTGTTCCATGTTTGAGATTTTGTTATCAGCTGCATGGAACCTAACCAGCCCACCAAGGCAGAGCCTTAAGAGGTATGGGCTGCATTTTTTTAGAAAGTGGTTTTGCTTGGGGTGGTTACTCTTTATGCCAGTGGAACCATCCTTTAAAGCAGGCATCCCCAACCCACCGCCTTGAAAGAATGAAGACAAGCTAACGCCAAAAGGACAACAGGACAACATGAGAGGACAAGAGAAAGACTAAGACGAGACGACGACGGGATGAGCTCAACCGGTGATAGGCTGGCAGCCCCGGCCAATGAGAGAACCCCGCAAGAAGGGGGCAACAGGAGGACAAGGAGAGGACATCGGCTTCTGAGGTTGCTTTCCGGAGTTGTCTTGCTAGTGCCTCACTTTTTGGTAGCATGCGCTTACGTGTTGTCATGCTTACATGCTGAAAGGCTGCCAGGTGGCCATGCTGTGGTACTGCGGTCTTCGTGCTTGCCGGACGAGAAGAGGACAACGAAAGGACAAGAAGCGGACAACAAGAGGAGAAGAAACGGACAAGAGGACGAAAAAACAAAAGACAAAAAGAGAGGACAACAGGAGAGACTGGCTGGCAGCCGCGGCCAAGCTGGTGTCAACAAGAGGACAACAGGAGGACAAGAACAGGACAAAACGAGGACAAGAGGCGGACAAGAAAAGGTCAGGAGGACAAAAAAAGGACAAGGAGAGGGGAAGAGTACAAAAGGAGAAGGACAAGGACTGGAGACGGGCTAGCGGCCGCGCCAAGCTGGAAGAACGACAAGAAGAGGACAAGAAGACATAGGGTTCACCGGCGCGGCCAAGCTGGACACCAGCAGAGGACAAGAGGAGGAAAGGATAGAAAAAAGAAAAAGGACAATAGGAGGACAAGGTCCGGAGACCGACTGGCAGCCGCGGCCAAGCTAGAAGGACAAGAAGAGGACAACAGACGGACAAGGAGAGGACAACAGGAGGACAATGCCCGGACACGGCGTTCACCGGCGCGGCCAGAGATCGTGGCCAGCTTGGGAAAGAGAGAACCCCAACAGTGAACTGTTTGGAAAAAAACAAACAATCTGAGAGGACATGGCAGAGACAAGTTATTGCAGAGTTATTTTCTGTTTAATTGCTTGTATGACGATCAGATTGGACCTCAGTCTCTCCATGTGTTTTTCACATATCCTTTCTATATATTAATTCTCTCTGAAAAGAATGCGAAAGAATTCAGGGATTCCTATGTTGAATGCACATCGAAAATGACATCAATGGGTTCTAAGGTTCCTTAGACTTGAAAAAGAATGAGTCTATTTTATAAAAACTTATCCAGCATGTTGATTCTTATATGTTTTAAAAGAATATGTAGAATCAATATGTGTGTATGTGTATATATGTATATATGTTTGTTTGTAACATGCTTGCATCATACACAAAAAAGAATGCTAGGGTCCTACATTTAATTTGACAGGTGAGAGGACTATCATTTGTGAGGCGCCTGGCTCCTCTCCGTGTCGGCTCCATCACCTCTGATGTCCCTGCGAAGAGGTTCTCTAGCCTGTGACTCTGGATCAGCCAGCCCAGCTCGAATCTCCACTGCAGGGCTTGAGGCCGACATCACAAGGACCCCTCACAAGCGAGCCAGCAAAGATTGAGCCAAAACAAGCTTGGTTTGTCACTTATCTCTCTTTTGCGGCCTCTACCAATTAGACTACCTATGATATCTGAGCAGTTGTGGATCAAGCAACCACGATGTCTCTTTCGACCTCCTCCAGGGACCACCCGAGGATCTCGGATGAGGTTCCTGGCACGTGCATGTGCTTTTCTACTACATAGGGAGAAGCAAATTCGCCCATATAACGGGGGCCATGTCCATCGGGCCATCCAGGCTGCTGAAGCCAAGGACTAGGAAAGATTAGTGCAGCTGGAATTCCCGAAACAGTTTCTGCGACTCAAAGGCTCAACAAAGAAACCACCCAAAATCCATCACCTGACGCAGCAGTTGGCATCATGCAGGCAGCGTTTCGCTTCGTCCACCACCTGTCAAAAGGCATCTGGGTAGAACTTCCAAATCCCAGCCCTAGGGAAGGTCGGACATCTATGGTACCATGGGAATCTATGGGAATAGCGTCCTTGCTCCTAGTAGCGATGCTCTTTGTTCCTAGTAGCTTCTTGTTACTAGTAGTAAGGCCAGGAGGGCTGCTAGTAGCGTCCGCTCGTGTGTTCTGTCAACTTCCTCTTTCCAGATCCGAAACCTTTTAGGTCTCGGGCCATCTGATTGCCACCACGCACTAGAACCGTCACAGCTTTCGACTTCCCGCACTCCTCAAACGATGAGAAGTTTGTCAAAAACACCCTGAAAATAATGGTTTGTCGTTATGTTGTTGACTGTTGACTTTGTTGGAATCCTTTTGATCGTGTCTCATGCTCAAATTAGGCTTTCCTCAGGAGCTTAGCTTTGATGCAAGCCATTGCAAGGCCTTTTCACCTGTGTACCGTTACACCTTCCCGTCCTCGATGATGAGCATCTGCTCCTTCATTGTACCGAAGGTGACTTCTCGGACCACACCGGCCTCGTCAACGCTCTTTATCTGTTTTTGCGGAGGTTGAATAGCAAGCAATGTTTGAGATCCCTCAAGCACTCAACTTTGCTGGAACAGTCTGCTTGAAGGAACTCTGCTGACTCAATACATCGCCTTGCCCAGCTTCTCAGGCGTCAATTCCTCGAAGCGAGGCACGATCCTGGCCCAGCTTTTGCTCCACACAAGCCAATGGATAAAGCAGCTCAAGCACGGAGGTAGCTGCATCATAATCGACCACCATCGACCAAGCCGTGTCAGTTCAGTCCAGTCCACCAACAGGATCAAGTGCTGAACCCCGGCAGCCTACCACCAGTGGCAATGGCAATGAGCTCCAACTCTACCCCACCGACCCACCTCAGAAAAACATCGGCAGATCGGCCCATGGAAAAACGTGGCCTGTTTTAGTGACGGTGGTCAAAAGCACAGCTACAAAATGTTATACAGTAAGCCCAAAGTCCAAGTCCGATCTAGTGTGTGTGTGTATATATATATAACCATGGCTGGCTTGAGTATTCTCAAATCGCCCCCAAACGCCATGACTGTCGAGGATGGAACCGGACAGCTGGCAACTTGTTCTGGAAAAGCAGGTGATTTGCCTGCGGCTGTGAAAATCATCAGGAACATGTTTGAAGGAAATTGCTTGAAATGCATCTCACGTGCAAGCATGTAGCTCATACTGGCATGCTGTGTTTCTGTAGAACTCATTTGCAGCTTGCGAGCAAAATAGTCGAACACGTTCCCTATCCTACCTCTATAATTGGAATAACGGCTTGATTCTGCAATCAAAACTTATACAATAGTCCATTCCTCATCATCGAAGCCCCACTGACAAATCACCAGATTTGCGCCGGCATCCTGCAACCGTTGTGTTTCTGCTGCCACAATAAACATGGTTTAACAACCACTCCAACGCGAAAGTACAACGACCGCAGCAAGACCACCACAATGACTCCCCCGCAAGGTAATTCAACTCCTTTTGCAAGACACAATGTTGGATGATGTCCAGGTCCTGGATGAGCTTGATCTGGTCCCTGAAGTACCTCAGCTGTGAACTTCTTTGACCGGTGAGATTGTCTTTAGCTTCAGTCAGTGGTTTCAGACCCCAACAAAATGACGAGTGTGTATACAGCTTGCGTCTTCTTGGCAGCCGCATTTCTTACAAGCAGTGCAAAGGCAAGATTTGCCAAGTCACTTCTGCTCGTGCTCGTAGAGCTTCTTGTAATCCTCACCGGATCTGATGTCCAGCTTGTGCTTCGTTTTCGGCCTCGGCACATACTCCCAAAGTCTTCCAAGAATCATCCAACACCTTTTCATGGAGATTGCAATTCCCAGCAGGGGATCTAGTTCCCAGCGCTGACCGTTTGGAGCTTTAGAACTGCTGATACTCCCAAGCAACACACCTGGGGATCTGACTTTGGTGGCTCGAAAGGGCAAGTCAAAATTGCCATTTTGGCGTCCTCAACGATCGATTCTCAAGGAACATCACCAGACTCCCTCGACATGCACTCTATAAAACACAATGCAATTGGCTTCTTCATCCTTGTGTTCTCCAGCTTTCGGTCTTAGACATCAATATTGGGCTAGAGGCCATCGCTACTAGATTGGAACGCTAGTAGGTTGGAGGCCATCACTGTTATAGGTTCCTTACATTAAAAAAATACCTTTTTCGAAGTCTTTTTGCATTTTTGCTTCTCCCACACGCTTTGATTTCACGTCACCGGCTCACTCTGGTTATATAATCAGGCCACACGATTCCCTCGGGCATCGATCGCACTTGACTCCTTGACTACCTTGGGCATCTGTGGATGGCTGAAGTCCTTATCCACCACAATGCCCTGGATTAGGCAAGTGTCCTGATGCCATCCATTCGCTGCTTTGTTCACATAATCTTGTCTGTGCTCTCAAGAGTACAAAGAAACTAAGAAACGTCATGGATAAAGACCATGGAACGTTCCTGCCAGCAATGAAATGGACGAAGAATCTCCGTGAAAGGCCCTCGCTGTAAACTTCACCATCTTTTAGTCTCGGAGGAGATGGCTGCAGTCCTCCAATTTGCCACCCACTTTCCCCTCAACCTGCCAACAGAGTTGCAGACGATTCAGATCGAGGCGATAGTGAGAACCCCCTTTAACATAATTCAACTGCTCTTGAGTGCACCTCTGTCATCGGTAAACACTTCACATGGTGCGCACGATAATGTTGCTTTGAGTAGAATCTTATCAGGCTCCACTCAAAAAAGGGTCATTTGTGTTGGCACACGTGTCAACTGCCTTGGTCTTGTTGATCTTTCTGCGAATCTGTCGGCATCAATCATGACTGTGAGATGACCCGTCATGGGCCTTGATGAGATCAAAGTTGACATCTTTTCGCTGAAGATCGCATACCTCTGCTGTGGATTGATGGAGCAAAACTAGACTGAGATCAAAGGGCGTAACATGGCAGGATTGGCTAGATCAGCAATTCATCGCTCATTTTGGACAGCATGCTTAGGCCGGCCTAGACGCTTGGAAAGGCGGAACTGATTCCAAAGAACCAATGCCTGGGTCGCTTCAAGTTTTAACTTGAGCACAGCCCGGTCACTGGACTTCTAATTCGAAGTAGCCCTTGTGGGCACACCTCAGATGCCACACCTTTTCAGCTAGCAGAGCTTTCCATGTGAGCCGAGTTGACAATTTGGTGCCTTCCACACAAATGCCAAAGCCTGAAGCTCTCGATTAGGTTCCACGTGCTTCAGAGTCGATGCCAAAGGTAGCAAAAGTTGCATTCAGCTTTACAGTGCTATTCAGGGATAAGGGCTCCCTTTCCCGAAGCATTGCCAGAGTCGTTGCCTGCTATGTCGTGTTCTGTAGTGCTGTTGTGTGAACTGCTGTTGCCTTGGCTTGCATTGGCTTCAGAAGCATTGCTGGAATTGGCGCCAGTTGCATTCAGCTCACTGGTACTGTTGTGGGAACTGCGGTTGCTTGCTTCAGAACTACTGCTGGAGTTTGTGTGACTTGCGTTGTGCTCTGTTGTGGTGTTGCTTGAACTGTCATTGCCGTGGCTTGCATTGGCTTCAGAAGCATTGCCTGACTCGGAACCAGTTGCATTCAGCGCGCTGGTACTGTTGTGAGTGCTGCTGCTGTTTGCTTGAGAACTATTGCTGGAGTTTGTTTGACTTGCATTGTGCTCCGTGGTTCTGTTGCTTGAACTTGAACTGCTGTTGTTGCTTCCATTAGCCTTGGATGCATTGCTAGAATTTGCATCAGTTGCATTCTGCTCTGTACTGTGTTTTGCTTCCGACAAATTGCCTGTTGCTGAGGCCTTGCTGCTGTTGTTCTGCTCTGTGCTGTTGTTGGACGAATGGGTGTCGTCTTCCGCTCTCTTTTCCGGCGGATCGCTGGCAGAGCTATTGCTGCTGTTATCACCGGAGCAATTCTCGAGGCATCTGTTTCCTGGGTGAAACCAAAGAATCAATGAACAACAAGCATCCAAGTCATGAATATGTTCTAAGCTTCTTGAATCAAAGAAAGTAAATCCCAGCATGTCAAAAGGATATGTTGCATACTAAATTGCAATAGCCACCCTGCAAGCCCGATCATATGCACTACCTGAATAAGCAACATGCCACCGCCTGCATAATCCCTCCGCTGCAAGCATCTGTCAACTGAGAAATTTCTTTTAGGAACCTAATAGCGATGGCCTGCAACCTAGTAGCGATGGCCTCTAACCTACTAGCGGGAATTGAAGAAATCTCAACATGTTTGGTTTGCCAAGTCTCCACTTGAGGCTTCATCTTCACCAGCCTGGCAATCTCCCAACAACACACTGTTTGTCCTGGTTTGGACCAGATTCAAAATCTTGACTAAGCCTAAACGTTGAGGGTCTCCACGTCACAAAACAAGTCTTAGATCGTCTTAGTAAGTTGGGTAGCTACCGCGGCTATCACAACATTTAACACCTGCACTTTCAGCATTTCCAGCCTCTGAGGCGCTTGTGGCCTGAGAGATTCACCGTTTGCAGTCCCTTCAAGTTGACTATGCGTACTAGTTACGTACTAGAAAGCTTTCTTGTTACTAAGAAGCTTCAAAGACATACCAAAAAGCTTCTTCATTGTTGCTACAGGTGAAACGATGTCCATCAAACAATTCCCAATGAAACGATTCGTACTAAACCCCCATCCAGGTCCAACCCACCCAAAGTGTATTATTTGCCCTTTTTTGTGAACAGTCTTGCAAAATATCTGGTAGAGGTAGTTTTCGCGCAAGAAGGAAATTGATTTTCTGCACAATTGGGATGCGTTGTCTCTCTTCGCCTCTGCCATGGAGTCATTCATGAACTGATTGTAGACCTGACACACTCAAGCTCTCCATGTTGGTCATCATATGATGTGAACCCAGCACCAATCTTTCGAAGCATCTGTTTGGCACTGCTGGAAAGGTCTTCAAACGGCCCCAGCATAGCTCCGTAATCTCGAGTTCGGTCCCTTGAATCAACCGATCCTTCAAGGTCAGCATCGAACCGCACGCGTGGGCCTTGCCATGCTCCCGTAGCAGCTCGCCCAGCATCCCCTGTCAGGGATCTTGTATGTTACGTTCGTAGCTTCTTGCTCCTAGTACGGCCAGGAGCCCCTAGTAGCGTCCTTGCTCCTAGTAGCGATGCCAGGAGCCCCTAGTTAGTCTCTTGTGGATGTCCATATCTTTCCTTCCCCTGAAGGGATTCGTGACGATCATGAAAGCCTCAGGGCTGCTTCGAGTTTGAATGAACTTATAAGCAAGCTGGCTTTTCAACGCCGCTGATGATCATATATCATTTGAATATACCAACTGCTCACTTTCTACCTGGGCTGGTGACTGGCTGGGGTTCTTGATCGCTGCAGTACCCCTTCCATCTTATCTTTCAGCATCCCCCTTGTGCCTCGGAGGTCTCGTTATCCTGGATCAAGGTTGGCAGTGGAAGGGCTCTCATGGAAGTCTACAGATGGCAGAATCAACTGGGAACCCAGATGTCCTCCCAGTGGGCGCTGCTCTGTAGTGCCTGGAAAGTGCTCTTGCAAGTAGAAACAAAGGGCAACTGGCCCTCACTCTCAATACACTACACCATTTTGAGGCTCATGCAGAAGCCTCTTCTGCCGGTCCGAACAAAGCGAATCCAATCTAATCAAACCTGTTCCTTTCAGATTTCTCTCCGGGTCCAGTCTCTTGACTTCCACTTCCCTCACGAGCGAGACAAAAGGGAAAGGGATTTGTGGTCACGGTCATTCTTCGACTTCCCCAGTTGCCTTTCGCTGCTGCAGGAGCATCAAGCGGCAGCTCTGGGAGCGGCACTCATGAGCTGCTTGGCCTCTGAGCTGATGACTTCAAGCAGTTTCTGTGCTTCTCTGACAGGTTTGGTTCGATGATCCAAGAAAATGCATTTTCGCTCTCAACTGCCGACAACGGACCTTAGTTTTCAGACACACACAGGTGAAAAGGATGGGCAATAGCCTACCGAGTGTGGAAACAAGGGGCCGCCCGGTCAGGTGAAGTCATTCCACTCCCCTGTTTCACCTGCCTTGGTAGCAAAGCAGCAGAATTGGCCACAAAGACAGCCAGTTGTGGCTGTAGAACATTGCGGCAATTATGACACAAGCCGTGTAGCTACTATGATATGGTTCCAGCCTATCTGGCAGCTCGATCATGGGAGTACATCGGGGCAAAGCAACATTATGCAAAATTAAGTATGAATGCTCCGGTCATCCCTTACTTCTCTTCCTTCAAGCTGATTATGCCAGAGTTTCACATCCATGTCTGGCGCATTGCAGTCTACGTTATGCGGACATCTTTGGGCCAAATCCGCACATGTTCACAACGTCCTTGCCAGGGGTGAGGCAAACAGGCTCTACCTACGGATCCTTGCAAACTCAAAAGGTATCACGCAAGGGAAAAAACAAAAACCTTACCATTCAATTCTCGCCGCCCTGTAAATCCAATCTCCACTTTTTCTTCGCTTCACAACTCATCCAAGTCGATCTCTTCGGACTTGGACTCTGCGTTTGGGCTATTCGTTAGTTGTGGCGCTGACCGCCAACCTGCCAAAGAATCGGGCTTCTCTGCGACCACGGAATCGAGCGAAGCATAACTTAAGACCACAATACACGATACTGGCTTTAATGGGAGGTGATAGCGTATGTTGTGGCTGTCGCTTGTTTTCGTTCCTTGTCTCGATACGTGAGTGCCTTCCTGCCTTAGCTTCTGTTGGTTGAGGTAATGATGCCAGCAAAATGTTCGGCAACTTTGCTGACTTTCTATATACGGTACTGCTAGATCTGTAAGTAATAAAGCTCAAACAATATCAAAATCTGTAGAGTGTTAGCTCAAAAAACAAAACTGCATCCTGTACATGAAATTCCTTTCCAAAAAAGCTTGCTTCTGCTGTTGCCTGATCAACCATTGCTCACCCTTGCAGTCTGCCGGCAAGAATAACTACAGGCCAAAGCCACCTCCACCCCCGCCGCCATCACCGGCAGGCAGGTCCCAGGTTGGCATACTTCGCGGCATGTTTTGCGCCATGCTTTGTGGCATCCCTTGTGGCACGTATCCTGGCTTCGACCCGCACAAGCCTTCAATGTTGGAATTAAAAGCAACTGTCACAGCTCTCAGCTTTCAAGAATGTCTGCAAAACCCTTCCCCTCAAGTCCTGCGCCCGACCACCTCAGGGCTCATCCAAAGCAGAGTTTGATTGGACAATTCGCTCTTGGTCGTACTGTAGCCCTTGTGATTTATCCGAGACATGCACACTGTATACAGTAAGTTTCTCGACATACTGCCCTGCAATGGAAGTCATCTTATCCACCAAGGAGGAGGGTCTAGGAAAGCAAGCCGAAGACATGATATTTTATTAAATACTATACAGCCGTGAAACCAAACAGCTGAGCTCACAGCATGGCCCAGGCATCATATCCTGGATAGGCTTGCGGCACCTTGGGAGCAGCCAAAAAATCCGGCTTCCGGTGAGAACTTGACACCCAAACAAAAACACAAAAAAAAAGAATAACAATAAAGTTTGCTTGCCACGCTTGTTCAGGAACTACCTCATATGCCGACCCTCAAAAAGGCTATCCGTAGCTCTTCGCCGCCCCATGCCTTGAGGGTGTTTCATGAAGATATATAAACAACATCCCTGCAATGGCCGATCAAATGATAACACCCTACCTATACCAGTAAATTTCATCGATTTCTGATGGGGAGGGGGTTCACTGATCGTTTCTCAATGGCTTCTAGCGCAAATTCAATTCTTGCATAGTTACACGAACAATAGTTGATGAAACCAGCCCACAACACATAGTCGGATGTTCGCCCAAGTCCGCCACTCTCCATTCTGGTGGTGTATACCTCAAGGGTTCAATCAAGCTTCAGTTGGAACATCATTGAGAATCAAGTTGGCATCCAGATTCTCCAAAGCGCCAAAGACAAAAGCGCCAACAGAAGTTGCAGCATCAGGTTTAGGCCCCACACCCGGCACGATCCAGGACCTGCAAAAATCGTGTCGTCCACACTAGGATGACCCTGCTCGAGCCTGATGAGCGAAACCCCCAATTGATCAATTGCTGAGCAGCTTGGAACCTTGCCAAATCTTTGAATCTGTATGCATTCTGAATTCATGAATGGACTTTATTGGACTACTCAAGAAACTCAGCCTCAAGTCCGGCGGCTCTTGAAACCTATACAGTCTCCAAAAAGCCCGCTTCTTTCGGTGCAACCCCTTTATGTCGAATCCTTTGGATTCAGTTTTGCGTCTGCATGGATGGTTTGAAGCAAACAAGAAGTACCTGCCATGCAAAAACATGAAAGGAAACAGCACCAAATCGCCGAATCCCTTATTCGCACACCACAGGGCCGTTTCTCGACCGCTTTGGCTTCCAAGAGCCCCGAGTGGGGGCCTCGCGCAGAAGGTACTTGGCTCGCGTGATTGCATCTCGCGTGCCGCTCAAACCTGACAAAAACGATCAAACACAGATCTTGTTTTGAAAGGGGCCTGAGCTTCTCGCAGGCTACGCTTCGTTATTTTGGCGGGATAGACTCTTTTTTGGGCCGATAGGGAGGTTCCCAGCAGAGTACAGGGAACGGTGTGTTGCAAACAAGTGTGGAAGATTACCGCCATGTTTGTTTAGAGAGGCAACTCGTGCCGGGGTGAGGCCCTCAAAAGTGACATAGATTTCGTGGCAGGGAGGGAATTGGAGAGGTTGCAGACTTCATTGTGCGGGAGTGGAGTTGGAGGAGCCACTGGAAGCCAGGCAACAGTAGCCAACAAAAGCTAATGCTAAGGGAACCTACCAAAACTGCCTAAGGCCACACAAGCCACCACGAGCCAAAGGCTCTAGCAAAGCCACCAAAAGTCAAAAGCCACAGAAGCCACGAAATAGCCAAAGCCAGCTAGAAGCCACAAGGCACATAAGGTAGAAACAACCCAAAGAACATATCCGCCGAAATATACCCTCCTTTTGGAAGTCTTGGAAGGTCGACTCGAAGCATCCGCTAGCGCCAAGGCCGCTGCGGACGGGTGAAGGGTCCAACTGATTGTTCACATCAATCTTGGCACCGCTCTCTCCTGAGTCACTCAGTTCTGGATTGAAGATCTGGAGCAACTTCAAACAAAAAGCAATAACAAACAACAACTGCTGTTGACAGCTCACAGCCCCCAAAGGTCCTATTGCAGACTAAAGATTAAGAGGCTCTGCCAGATAAAAGTGTGCTTCATTGGAGAAACAACTCTGGCCAGGGAACTCTGGAGCCGCTGGACAGTCTCACCACCCTTGCCGATCACCTGGCTGGGAAGGGTGGGAGAGGAAACAAGGCAAGAACGAACCGTCTGATTGTCCTGCACAACAACTGCCACTCAATGCCCTAAAGTGATGCAGTCCCGACTACCATCAAGGGTGTTGCGATAAGACCTTCATGCTAGAAACAATAAGCTACTAGGAACAAGTGCATCGCTTCTAGTAACAAGTGCCTTGCTAGTAGTAACAAGAAGCTATTAGAAACAACTTCTTGTCGGCAAGGAGATCATTATTTTTCATTGTCACCGGATGGCACGGTGATTGCGCTGTGATCGCACGATCCCGACCCTCCGACTTTCTGCTGTAAAACGATTTCTCACCTACTTGATTTTACAAACATTGAACTCAACAATGTGCTTCTGAAGGGTTCAAGTTGCAAAGCTGATTCCATTGCGAAGCTGATTCCATCGCGTGAACACGTTGACCAGTTGCACCCTCTGTGCTCAAACATGTCTCCGAAACGCGCCCGACCATGGAGAGCGGAATCTCAACCCTCAGTGTAGGCCATCAGCACCAAATGCAATAAATAAGGCCCAGTAAAGGCTCAAGATTCAGCACCACCTGAGACCTGCACGTGTCTTCAGCATCCCCTCGCCCGGGGAGGTGATTTTCCTGGCACAAGAAACTGGACAGTTGATGGATGTGTTAAACTGCTAGGAGGAGCCCCTAGTGGCGTCCTTGCTCCTAGTAGTACGCCCCTAGGCTCCAAACCACTGTTTTGGATGTTTGGGAGCCTCAGCAAGGCTGACAATCATCTTCTTGGCTTTCTCCACCTGTCGCAAGGTACAACTGTAGTGACACTGGCTGTGACCCCAAAACTCTCAGCAACACTCGCCACACAAAATGAATGTACTTTATACTTCCGTGTTTCCCTGAACAGAACATATCTGAACTAAAACGATTTGAGACGTTGTACATGTTAGGAGCCTACCAACACCCTTATGAGTCATGAGGGAAGCAGTGTCATGTTCCCATGAGCGCCTGCTCTGGGGATCCGCCCAAATAGACCCGGCAGGTCTCCTGCCACCCAAACCAGGTGCTTCCAATCTTGAACGAGAAAGTATCTTATTGTTGCTAGTAGTAAGGCACTTGTTTCTAGTAGCTTCTTGTTACTACTAGTAAGGCACTTGTTACTACTAGCGTGGCACTTGTTACTACTAGCTTCTCTATGTTCATCGTCCATCAACTGACAAGTGCATCTACCCAAGCCGACACAGCATTTCAAATGGACTTTTCAGTCTTCTAGCATTCATGCATGAATCGTCTGCCTCCAACTTCTCGATCTTTACCTGCGCACCACTGCGCGACCGCACCTGTGCTATTTCAAATTGTTTGCGGACATGGTAGCGGCATGAATACTCGAAGCTTCAGGACTATTCTCTTGCTGTTTTTGTCCAACCTGCTTCGAGACTGTGGTTATGCATGCAACTCGTTTTATAAATCTAGGAACCAAATGAATAGTGCAAGCGCTATCTTGCTTCCTACCTAGGAGCTAACTTATCTCTTACTTGATTACGTACGCACCTACTTGATTAAGTAGTAGGGGGCAGAGCGGCCTTTCAACAACAACAACAACAACAACAACCGACGTTAGAAAACAGACTCTACATGTTCACCTCAGTTCACCCAATGCTTGCGCATCCTCATGCCGGAAGCTCGTTTCAGTGATGTTCACTTCAAAGGAACTGTGCAGCTCGCATTCGGATGCCCACCAACCCCAAGAAACTTCCAACAGTCTCAAATCCCCAAGCAGGTCACCTAAAAATCTCAGAACCAAATGATTGAGTAAGGAGGCAGGGCCGTGGGCTTAAAAAGAGATAGTAAACAATATGTAACACTAAAAAACTGGACAACCAAGTGACTCTACAAACATTCACTCCACGTCGACCCCCGCGGCCCTGCCTCTGAGATCTGCACCCCGCAGGAGCCGATGATACGACCCGCCACGGCCAGCGGGAACTCTAAGCGCTCATCTCGGTCAAAACTTTAAGCGCTCATCTTGGTCTGATGGTTTGGTCGGGTAAGTACATGCAACTAGCTGGTAAGTACATGCAACTACATGCGCCTACGGGTTGTTTGTTGTTTGCGACAAGAAAGGATAAGAAAGGATCACCCGCTTGGAAAGTGCTTCAAGGCAAGCTTATCTGCGTTCTCCAGCTATCCCAAGCCAAGGCGAGAGCCTTCTTCTCCGGGCCTAGCCATAAAACAGTCTGCAGCCCTCGTTCCAAGGCAATGAGTTGTTTGAGTGTGCGATGCCAAGGCAGGGTTCATATATGAGTATATATATGTCAATTGGCCATGTCTGCCACCAGTCACTCGCAGGGCTGTCGTGCACTTCCGTTCGTCCGAAGGCCATTTCGCGACTCGAGGCTTCGCAGGAAAAAGGCCGCCTGGTCCGCAGGGTCGGACACCTTGGTAGGTGTTTTGTGATTGGTAGCGGAGCCGGTCGAAAGGGACCGGCTCCGGGTAGGATCCCTGAGTTGCGCCATGTCTGCCGCCGCTCCTTTCGACCCTGGAGGTGGAAACAATAGGGTATTCACTGGTGATGATGAAGATGCCAAGGAGTATCGAAGATGGAAGATTTGGACTGCCAACAAGTTGCTGACGCTCAGCGACAAAGTGCCCGCCACGGCTCGTGGCGCCTACGTATACACGTTGTTGGGTGGCAAGGCCTTGGAGGCCGTGGAGCATTTGGAACCATCCTCCTATCAGAAGGAGGGTGGCGAGAAGGTGCTGTTCGAACTCCTGGATCGTCGTTTTCCTCAAAAGGAGGCTTCGGATGAGCTCAGTGAGAACTTGACCCGAAGGAGAATCTCTCAAGTCATGGGTCAGTCGAGCTTCCGAGGCTTTTGACAACCTGCAGCGCAAGAGGAACGTCTCCTTTCCGGAGGAGGCTAGAGGATGGCTCATCCTCCATCGTTCAGGCCTCAATGCTGAACAGGTTGCCGTCGTTTTGGCCAGATCACTGGGAGTGCTTAAGCGTGAAGAAGTTGGAAAGGCAATGCGTAGCTGTTATCCCAATTTTTCCGCGCCCAAGCGCCGTGTTGCTAGCGCTGCCCTGGTTTCCGAAGAAACCCTGCTGGCTGATATGTTGGAGGATGACGAGAACGGTCAGGACCCGTCGTTTGAGGACGTTGAACTCCTGTTGGCTGATGACACTACAGCCGATGATGGAGAACCCGATGACGTGTTTGACGAACGTGACATCAAGGAGACCTTGGCTGTCACTTGGCAGGAGAAACGGAAAAGCCTGGCTCGATTGCAGAAGGATCGCAAGTTCCATGATGCTGGCCACCTTCGACGACAGTTCAGAGTTGAAGTGGAGGAGCTCAAACGTCGTACAAGATGCCACAAGTGTGGCCAGGTGGGACACTGGTCCAAAGAGTGCCGCAATTCGAGCAAGGGCTCAAAAGGAAAAGGCAAAGGTCATGGTAAAGCCCCAGCAACCTCCAGTGAGTCGGGAGCTGCTCTGGTCGAACATTTTGTTGCCGTGGTGATTCCAGAGTTGACATTGCTTCAACGTGTACGAGCTCTTCATTCTCCACTCGCTCGAGAACCCCCTCAGGAGCTGCTCTTAGTGTCCAGTCCAGGATATGGTATCCTGGATTCTGGGTGTGGTCGTTCCATTGTGGGAGAGGATATACACTGAGCGAGTTCCGTGAGTTGTGGAAAGCCCATGGTTTTGTTGACCCTGAGCCCATTCAAGAGCTGAACCATTTCCGGTTTGGGAATGGTGCCCAGGAAACTTCGCGTCAAGTGATCCCCATGCCGGTCGTGTTGGGAGGTCGTTCGGGAGTGATCAAAGCAGCCCTTGTGAAAGGTCGTGCTCCCCTGTTGATCTCTCGGAAAGCCCTGATGACGCTTCAGGCCAAGATTGACTTTCAGAAGGCCGAACTCACCCTCTTTTCGGATGAAGTCAAAGTTCCTCTTCAGACCAACACCGCTGGCCAGTTCATTGTAAACCTGTTGGGTGACAAGACTCCTCATGAAGCATCCTTTGAGGAAGTCATGGAGACACATGTAGTGCCACCGGCTGAGCAGCCGTCTCATGACGCACCGGAGTCTGATACACCGCCAGCTGATCAGACGCCCGTGGATGAGCCTCTCACCTCAGGACACCTGTCGATTTGGTCTCGTATCGACGATGGATTGAAATTTGCACCACTCTCCGGTAAGCAAGGTCCTAGTTGGAGCCAGGTCGTCCGTCGCCGGGTCACCGATTTCGTGTCTGGAGAAGTCATTCTTGATCAACAGATAGAACACCATAAGGGCAAGAACCAATATCACACGTTGATTCCACCACAGCACGTTCGAGTGAAGACCGAGTTCTTTTTCCGGCCACAGGAGAAGATGTGCCCTACTGAGTGTCTGCCGGTTCATCACCTGCGACAACTGAGATCTCAGGTGAAGTGCACGAACGCATGTCCAGCCACCATGATCAAGGGTCGCCGATTCGTTGTAGCCGAAGTTTTCAGTCCACCTCGATTTGCACCTGTCGCTCAAGAGTTTGGGTTCCACGCGACATCATATGATCTGATAACCGGATACGACTTCACTAAGAAAGAGCATCGCGACCTGGTCCAAGAAGAGCTGGATATCTCACCACCCGACCTGTTGGTCCTGTGTCCGCCTTGCACTCATGAGGGAGGATGGTGGCATCTCAATGCCGCTAAGCTGCCTCCGCATCTAGTTCTGAAGCTGAGGATGCGAAGCCGGATGTTCATCAAGTTTTGTCTGGAGCTGTTTGAACAACAGGTGTCTAAGGGTAGGTTCGCTATGTTCGAGCACCCCCTTGGATCTCAAGTTTGGACTCTACCTGACATGAAGAAGCTGTTGAACCGATTCTATTCGACCAAGTTGCACATGTGTCGATATGGTATGAAGATGCCCCACCATGATTGTTTCATCCGGAAACCCACTCGTCTTTTGATCAGTCATCGGAACATGGAGTCTCTAGGGCTGGCTTGTCCAGGAAAGCAACATCCTCAGCATGAATGTCATGATGTGATTGCCGGTTCAGCAGTTGGGGTTGGTTCCATTAGCAAGTTTGCAGGTCAATATCCCCCAGCTTTTGTTGAGAGTGTCCTTCGAACCATTCCTGCTTTTGCAAGGGTCTGGGAAGCATCCTTAGTGCAGTGTGGGGATGAATCGTTCTCACACGTGGTTGAAGAATGCCTGGCAGCCCACCGCGAGGATCTGACACAGCCGGAGGTCGAGGACGCTCGAGTGAATGGTGCCCTGATAAAATTACACAAGAACCTAGGACACCCGTCCAACACTGATTTGGTTCGAATCCTTCGTCATGGTCAGGCTTCGCAGAAGGCCATAGCCATGGCCCGGGATCTGGTGTGCGATTTTTGCAAGGCTCACATCAAGCCTCATGCGCCGCTTCCAGCACAGTCAGGTCGCATCACTCAGTTCAACCAGTTAGTCGGGGTGGATGTGAAGTACCTCCCGGGTTGGTTGCCTAACCAAAAGATCAAGTCTGTTAACATGGTTGATCAGGGGTCGTGCTTTCAACAGATTGTTCCCTTCTTTGAGCAAGAGACATCAATGTTGATTGGCAAGATCTTTGCCGAAGCCTGGGTCCGCTGGGCCGGACCTCCGGAGTCTGTGATCGTCGATCCTGCACAAACCATGTTAGGTGAAGCATTCCAATCGTATCTCGAGTCCATGGGAACCCACTGCAAGGTCATTGCTGCAGAAGCACACTGGCAATTAGGACGCACTGAGAATCATGGAGGTTGGTTTGGTAGGATTCTGCAAAAGATGATTGATGAACATTCGCCCTCAAACAAAGAAGAATGGTTGGAGTGTGTTCGCCATGCACATGTGAAAAACCAGTCCATTCAGTCGTATGGCTTTACACCATTTCAACATGTGTTCGGCAAGAATCCAAACCTTCCTGGGGGCTTGATGTCCGAACCCCTCCACATTGTTCCGGCCACCGTGGGTCTTCATGAGGAAGCCATAGCTCGCGCACAAGCGCTGCGTCGGTCGGCTCGCATGGCCGTAGTAGCTCTCCAGGATGACAAAGCAGTTCGCGCTGCCATGTCCGGTCGCCCTAGGGTGGTCATGGAATTCAAAGCCGGTGAACTGGTTGCATATTGGCGTCAACAGAAGGTCATTCAGGGGACGGTTCAACAAGGGGGTAGATGGCATGGCACCGCAGTTGTCATCGGCATGGTAGGCAGAAATGTGATTGTCGCCCACCGGAAACAGATTTTTAGGTGTGCCCCTGAACAACTCCGACCGGCAACCTCCGAAGAGCGTACCATGATTGAATCACCTGAAGCTGAACTGTTAGGCATCAAGGACTTGATTGAGGGTGGAACTTTCAAAAGCAATCAGTATATAGATCTAGTGCCTTCCGAATATCCTCCTTCTGGGGTTGAGTTGCCGGACCCATCAGGGCGTCCTGTGGCGTCTCAAGCGCACGAGTCGGCTGAGCCGAGCCAAGATCCTGGTCCCTTCGAGATCTCTTCTCCGGGAAGCCATGTAGACATGCATGTCACAAAACCGCATGATGCCGAGGTACATGAGCCAGAATCTCAGGTCAAAGATCGTGCAATTGAGCCGTATGTGAATCCCAAGTCCCTACCATATGTCCCGGAAGAGGAATCCTCGTATGGTCCAGCGCGGCGTAGAGTATCCACCAAGTCTCAATCGTCCTCACTGTTTCGGCCACCAGCGATGCTAGCGGATGATTTCTCAGAGTTGATGAAAGACCTCGTGCCATCTCTTATCGAGAATGCCATTTCGAGTGAACAGGGAACATCAAGCAGTTCCGCTTCATCCGCGGCCGGAGTCAAGCGTGATCGTGAAGACGATGTGACACCCATTGAAGAACCACCGGCTCAACGCGCACGGAATGTGGATTCGGAAGTGCTGTCGATCGAGGAAGTCGCCGAAGCTTGGAACGATGGCATTGAAACCCTCATTGCTGCTCACATCCAAAAGAAGCTCAGTAAAGAACTCCCTCCTCATGGCAACCCACCAGAACTTCAAGCTTTGGTGGATGAATCCAAGGTAGCTGAATGGGGAACCCTCGAAGAGAAAACCGCCATCAAGATTCATTATGGGAAAAAGGCTCAAGAGTTGAAGCGACGCTTTCCGGATAGGTTTATTGGATCTCGGTTCGTAATCATTAGAAAGGCTGCTGAAGAGGGAATCGCCATCGATCCTCTCAACGTCAATCCCTCGACCTACCGTGTGAAGAGTCGTTGGTGTCTTCAGGGCCATTTGGACCCAGATCTCGATGAGAAGGCTTCAACCGGATTGCTTCAGTCTCCCACCTTGTCCCAGATGAGCCGTATGCTGATTTAGCATCGCACGGGTGGGTCCTTCAGCTCGGAGACATAAAAGGCGCCTTCATGGAGGCCGGTGAACTTCCTCAGAAATTCAGGCCTCTATTTGCTTCCATGCCCAAGGGTGGAATCCCCGGAGTGCCAGCAGATGCTGTAATAGAGGTGATTGGAAACGTTTACGGCCAGAATGACGCGCCAAGCGCGTGGTACCGCACTTTCGATTCTGAGGCTCAACAGGCGGGTTGGATCAAGTCAAAATTTGATTCTTGCCTCTATACCCTTAGAGATCCAAAGAACGGTTCCTTGTGTGGTGTCATGGGAGTGCATGTTGACGATACCGCCGTAGGTGGTTCAGGTCCCCTGTTCGATTCGGCTGTTCAGAAACTGAAGGCTCGATTTCTCTACCGGAAGTGGCGTATGGGGGAAGGTGAGTTCTGTGGTGCGTACTACCGACAGGATCCCAACACCAAGGGTATTTCGATGTCTCAACAGCAGTTTGCCGAGTCCATGCGTAGTGCATCAATCCCAAAGGGAGCTGAAAATCAAGCTCTGTTGACAGAGAGCCAGGTCAGGTTGTTGCGAGGAAAAAACGGTAGCCTCAACTGGCTTTCTTCTCAATCTCGACCTGATCTTGCAGTCCAGACAAGTCTAAGTCAGCAGTGTTTCCCGAAACCGACCATTCGTCATCTGAGAGATGCCAACAATGCTATCCGACGGGCAAAACAACATAAAGACTTGTGCATCTATTTTGCACCTGTTCCTCCCAGTGATCTGACTTTGCGCTGTCATTCCGACGCGGCTTTTGCCAATGTTGGTGCTCACACCCAAGCCGGGTATGTGATAGCGTTTTGCAATCAAAACCTCAACGAGGGACAAGTCTCCTCGTGGTCTCCGGCCGTGTGGAAGAGCTACAAGCTCAGCAGGGCGGTCAGTTCGACGCTCGGAGGAGAAGCCCAAGCCATGTCTGCAGCTTCGGGTACAGTGGAATGGATGTGTTTGTTGCTAGCTGAAACCTTGGATGGTCCCTTTCAACCACTAGAGAGTAGACAGATCATGAGTAGGCGAGCCCCAATCCTCATGACAGACTGTAAGTCTCTGTATGATCATCTGATTAGTCCATCAGCACCCACAGCAATTGAAGATCGTAGAACCAGCATCGATGTAGTTATCATCAGAGAGTCTCTTAAAAACACCCAAGGTATTATCCGATGGCTCCCTACTGATAGAATGTTGGCAGATGCTTTGACAAAAGATAAAGCGGACCCGGCCGATCTGCTGAGATCATGCGTCCGCGCTGCCTGTTACCAGGTTTCTCCAGAAAGTCTGATCCTAGAGCAACAAGCCGAGGAAAGAAGGAGACGCCAGCAACTGCGCCAGTCCAAGGACCAGGATAACCCGGTCCCAACAGATAATTAAGTTAGATGTAAAGATACAATACTTGCTAGAGTATCGGTGCTTGCAACATTCGTCGTTTCTCCCAACTGAGTGTCATTTGCTGTTTTTGGACGTGCTCGTTTTGTCTAGGACCTGTTACTCAAGTGCCGAAGGGAAACTCTGTTCTCAAGTGATTGTGCACATCGTCTTGCATGTTTTTGACGTTAATGTATCGCTCGTAGCTGTTCTTCGAAGCTCAAGGGTGTGTTTCGTAATCTCGTGACCCACTGTGACTGAGGGCCATGCCATTAAATGAGGCTGAGAGTCGCCAGCTCCAACTTCTGTTGGCCAAAGCGAACGAACCCAATGTCGGAGCCGAGGATGGTGATTTCACCCTTGTGCAAGGTGAAGTCAACCGTGGTTGGGGAGCCATGACTGATGGTTCCAAGCGCCGTGAGGAGTCCAATTCCGGAGAACCAGTCCTCAAGCGTGCTGACAAGAAAGCCCCTTCTGGCTATTCGATGTCACCCGGCATGTCACCACCATGGAAGTTAGCCCCTGATGGCCCGATGAGCTCAATGGATGATCCTGATCTTCCTCACGAGACCGGTGAGAGTGTTCAAAGTGAAGGCAAGATCTTGACTTTGCCTCAGGGAGTGTCCAGCGTTGAAGTATGCAGTGGTGTTGCGCACGTGCCTTTTCGTTGACCGGCACCATGCGCGACATGTCCCAATATTTACTTTTCATGAATGGCAAGAGCTCGAGCTCTCAGTTCTCGGATGGTCCAATCATTCCGGGATCGGATGTCCGCCGTCAATACAAGACGGCAAAGTGAAGTGCTCGTTTTGCATCTAAGCCCATCTAGAGCAGCTCCTTTAGAAGATAGAAAACATAGAATATAAGCAGTGTCAATTGGCCATGTCTGCCACCAGTCACTCGCAGGGCTGTCGTGCACTTCCGTTCGTCCGAAGGCCATTTCGCGACTCGAGGCTTCGCAGGAAAAAGGCCGCCTGGTCCGCAGGGTCGGACACCTTGGTAGGTGTTTTGTGATATATATATATATATGAGTGACATGATAGCTGAAGAAGAGGCCAACCACCTCCTCCACCTCCTCCTTCCTGTCTACTGTCCCAGCTTTTCACTTGTGGCACCAGGTATGTAGCGGCCTCGGCATCTCTGTGACCTGCTTCGCTTCCTCCGCGATGCTTTCAACCAGCTCCCTGGCGCCACAAATGCTCGTCAGGTCTTGGAGAGGCACAAACTCTCTGGAGCGTGATCTGGCTCGGTAGAATCCCACTAATGTGCTAAAAACCAGAACCAAATGTCTCCACTGCATCAGTCTCCAATTGTCTCCAGTCTTGATCCCACCACCCGCCTGGCAGATGCCACCTGCTCATCGCTGCCTGTAAGGAGCACGTGGCAGCGCTCCTGGAAAAAAGGCGTCCCTTGGCTTGCCCTTGCGTCCCTGTTTCTTCGTCTTTGGAACAAGTGGAAGGTCCTAACCCCACCGTCGGGAGCCGTGAGAAATCATCACTGTCACGTTCACCTTGCTCGCACCCAGCCGTCATCCCAGTCCAAGCCAGCAAGTCTTAAGTTCGAGCGGATGCTCAGAAGGGCACAAGCCAACTATGTGTGCGAAATGGCCAGAAAATCAGGGAAATGTGTTGCTTTGATAAAATCTAACATTCTGTCTTTCATTGGGTCAATTTCCTGACAAAAGGAAACGATAAGTTACCATAAATCGCTTGCCATGGCTCGCTGTCACCGTGCATGCACAACCACTTGCCGACTGTCAACACTGATGTCTGAAATCACCGCTTTCCGATCACTGGCAGAATCCCTGTGTCCTCTTGCTTCTTCACCTGGATTTTCGCACCACTGGTCTCCCGTACCTTGAAGCAATGTCAGTCATGTCTTCCTTCAGCTGATATTTCAAAAACTTTGGGCTTTGCTTGACTATTAGCACACTCAAACTACCAGATCCCAACATCACCGAAAGAAGGCCTACTTAAATACAAGAAGGTTGCACGACTTCATGCCTTGGTTTGAGGTTCAGACATGACTTCACCGGGTTGTTTGTTTAGAAGAAGCATCAAAGAACCCAGGCCATCGATCCGCCTCATTGATCTTGCTACCACGAGGGCCGATCAAGGCGCCCAGGATGCTGGCGGGAAACTCCAGGTCGGCAGCGATGTCCTTCTCCTGGAAGGCGACCCTCTCAGGTGGCCGCTTAACTGCCTTGCTTTTTGTGTCGAATCATGGAAGTCAATCCAACTGATTGCTTGCTTTGCTTTCACAGAGTGCTTTTTGTATCCCTGAAAAAAAGCCCGAAAGCCTGCTAGATATGGCTAGCGGCTAGATGCATGCTTCATGAGACGACAGGCATGATTGCACAAGAGAACAAAGGAAGAGCTTGGGACGACCAATCGACTATTGGGGAGTTGTGCCCTCTACAGCAAGTTGCCAGGCTGACAGCAATCTTCATTAGGGCGGTTGCAAATGCTTAAGGGGGCATCCAATCTCTCTTCGCAAAATGTATATCCCTGATCCTTTGTGGTGGACTTGCCACCAGCGGTGAATGCCCCAATTATCCTATCCATTGAGGATCCTTCTCTCTAGGTTGCATCTTTGATGACTTTGGCTACTCACAACAGCAACCGGATCTCCTCAATCTGGTCACCTCACATCGGGTAGCAGTAGGAACAGCAAAGTTGCGGCGAGAATTCAATAAGACAGTGGGAGTGGGGACAGTGGGGCCTGAAACTGGCTGCATCTCAATCATCGTTCACAATACATTCAGGCAATCCTTTCTCACATATATAAATGTCCCTAGAGTGCCTTTCCTTTGCGCCGCGGCTCCATCAGCCAACTGGTCGGATGATGATCCCTCCCGCCAAGCCTAAGGGATGTCGCTCCAAAGCAACCTGGAGAACACCACCGACTTGCAAGGAGGAAAGGAAGAGACTGACCACTGTGACCCTTCAACTTCTCAAATATCATTGAATAATCCTTCAGTTAAAGCAATCATCTCAAACAGGGGATTCAGCAGCAAGCATGCTTACAAGGTCGCCATGCTGTGAAGGCTAATTTGAAAAAGCATTGTCTGTGGCGGATGCTGACAGCATGATATGGATTCCAAATGCTTGGTGGTAATTTTCCGCAAGCAAATTAAATATGATTGTTCTTGGGTAATCTTTGGCGGAAAGAAAGAATGAAGAAGGGAAGAAAAAAATAAACACTTCATGAAGCGAGGCGAATGATTAATGGCTCGGTGCGATTCACCGACGACAGCCAAAACGGTGAGCTTCTTCAGTATCCTCGACAGCGCACCCGATCTGCTTGCTCTCGGATCATGGTCTTGGCTCGGCGGACCTCGTGAGCAAGACCAGGGAATGATGTGAAAGTCTGAATCCTCTACGGCCGGAGCCCCTAGTAGCGTCCTTGCTACTGACATGTGCAAGAAGTAGTCGAGGGTGAAGGATCAGCCCAGGTACCCAACAAAGTTTACAAACACTCATGCATGCGTCTGTCCAAGTAGGTTGCTCCTTCACAAGCATGTATATGCATATATAGTTTGCTAGTGTGCTCTGTGTCGAAATTGCAAAAGTGTCGAAAACCTGCCGACACCTCAAAAACACCAGCCTGCTCCTCCGTCCCAGTGATCCTGAACCTCACAGGTGAGTAAACTGTTTTGATGTCTGCAAATATTTCTCACAACCACAGCCTGCCCTTACTTCAAGGAAGCCAAAGGCTTATTCCGGTTGTCAACAAAGAGGATAGTCTTAGCAAAGGAAGCTGAGGCGGCGAGGGTGCAGTGTCAGTCCAAATCCGATGTCGTCTGAACTGGCGAATGATATGGATAGACTCAGAATAAGACTACTAGCTTCTTGTTACTACTAGTAAGGCACTTGTTACTACTAGCGTGGCACTTGTTACTACTAGCTTCTTGTTACTGGACCCTGCAACACGATTGCTGGTATCAGCTTTCCTCAATACTAAAGAAGTCCATAGAAGTCCGCAAGTTCGAGACATCCTCACATGTCAAAACATGCAAAAGAACTCTCAACACTCCTGAAGGCAAAAAAAATAGAACGCTGATGTCTACACCCAAATCCTTCTCCATCTGAGGCATCGGACTCACAATGATCTTCATCACGGTCCTTCCAGGTCGCACAGCGGTCGCACAGCGGTCGCACAGCGGTCGCACAGCGGTCGCACAGCGGTCGCACAGCGGTCGCAGAGGACATCAGTGGACTAATGGCGATGGCCTCCAACTCCAACCTAATAGCGATAAGGATCTCATCGGCTTGCTGTGGGACTTGCTTATCATGGAAAGGAAATGACAGGAAGGATGGCTAAACTACAGGCTGCCAATCTCTTGTTGACTGACTCTTAAGGAAATTATCATATTCACTCTGACGGGTGGCTGAGAGTCTACAATCCCATTAAAGTCAATCCATCGAAACCCAGGCTGTTTAAAAGTACATATCCAAAAATGGATTTAACTTAAAAGCTATATATATATAAGTATAATGTATATATATATACACACTACATACTTGGAATTGTCGTCAACAGCACATTCTCCTCTGCATCAATCCGAGCTCCACTATCTTGTCGGATGGTATTGATGACGCCGCCTCCCCTGCCAATCACCTTGCAGCAAATCTCAGAACAACAAAAATGGTGGAAGCCAAAGGTAAGAAGCAAAGGTCGTCTTGTTAATGTGCAAAAGCCCCTAAATCCTGCAGACTGTCCGACAAGACATAGCTTCAGGCCAAGTTGCTCGACCCATCAAGTTCCGCCTCACCAGAACCGAGTCTTTGCCTTGGTGACATGCCTACGCCGTGAACGCCTCCTTGCTGGGTTCTCAGACTTTGGACCATTGGAACTTCCATCAGCTTCCCAGGCCCTGGCAATTCCCTTCAGCACGGCTGCTGCTGCTACGGCGACGCCGCCTTGTACGGTTTCGTGGCAACCTTCCCAAAAGGGAAGACGCCTCCAACCTAATAGCAATGGCCTCCAACCTACAAGCGATGGCCTCCAACCTAACAGCGACGGCCTCCAACCTAACAGCGAGGGCCTCCAACCTAAAATTTGGACCTAAAATTTAATGAATGTGTCCCCATCTCGTTCGTGTGAATGAGATCAGGCCAAACGCCGGGGGATGTTTGTCGCTGGGTGAAGGACGACACCCATGAAAATCCGCTGAACCGACCACTGATTCAGCAACTGTAACAAGGACGCTATTAGGTGGAGGCCATCACAAGTATATAGGCTGTAATTACAGTAGGCCATTGCTACTAGCAACAAGAAGCTACTAGTAACTGTTGCAGTTTAACTGGGCGTCCCACCGCGGCGAGCGCCGCCCCGACGGCTCAGCACCTGAGCTAGTGTGGCCTTTGGATGTAAAGACTCCATCCCGTAGAGAGGCAACCCACAAGAGGTATACAAGAGAGGTATGATAGTTCCCAAGATAGGCTCTAAAAATCAAGATCACACCTTTCACAAAGCAAGCACCTGAAGGAAGGCAGTGAGGCGAAGTTCCTATGCGAGTTGGCCTGAAATCTTTCCATATTCACTCTGCGATCATGAATCTCTTCACATATGGCCCACACTTGACTTCAACCCTTGCCTGTTGCTCAGCTTTCGGATCTTTTTTGAGACTAAACCCCAAAACCCATCCTGCCTGTATTGGGCATGGGCCAAGGCCAAAGGGGCGGGAACCTCAGATCACATCAGAGTTTCGGACCCTGCAAGTCCAGCTGGAGTGGAATGAGTTTCATCCTGTGTCCAGTGAAGTTCCCCTCATCTGTCACCCTCAGTGGCAGATGTGTATTCAATCTCTTTGTTCATCTTCATAGTCCGAAGGGATCAAAAGGGTTGCAGTAAGTTTGCATTGTTTGGCCTACAACTACGGTGCTCCAGGCAGCGGGAACATCGGGAATGGCATCCCGCCGGGCATCGGAGGCCTAAGTGCAGCAAGCGAAGCATCTATATACTTGTTCCGAATAGCTTCTTGCTCCTAGTAGTATGGCCAGGAGCCCCTAGTAGCGTCCTTGCTCCTAGTAGCAATGCCAGGAGCCCCTGCGTCCTCTTGTTCCTATTATACAATAAGGGCGTTGCATCTATTTGCTAAGCTTGCTGACTTGTCAATTCTTCACTCTCGTTTAAGGTGTCCTAAATTTGCTGATTTGTCTGCTCCCTCGGGCACATGTTTGTCCTCGGTTTCGTTGGAAGTCGAAAGGTGCAAAGTGTGCTGATGCCTCACACAACATAGGCAATATCTTCAGGTCTTAATTCCAGACGCCGCAGTTAACACAGGCCCGGCCTAGCATATGAGGTGAGGGTATGGTCAGAACGGAGTTCTCTTGTTGCTGTGGAGCATTGGTCTGATGCTTAGAACATCTTCGAACCCTTCCGACTTCCGAGCTGGTTAGCAAATCACATAACGGGAGAAGAACCTAGTGAGTGTGCTGGAAGCAACAGACCAAGAGAAAAGACATCAAAAGAGCAACGAGACAGCCCTGGAGCAGCAAAACTCATCGCGTGCTTGTTCACTAGTAGCTTCTTGTTTCTTATAGCTTCTTGTTGCTACTAGTAAGGCACTTGTCACTAGAAGCGATGCACTTGTTCCTAGTAGCTTCCTGTTCACTCGTATTGTGGACACACCTGGCACTTGGCCCTGCATCCATCTAGCGCGCAGGACCAAACTGCCTAGGCCCCAAGCACAAAGGCCTGGCAGTTCGGGCCCTTTTTCGATCGGCCATGGCGGCGCCTGGGCTGGAGTGGCATCGTACCAGGAGGCATTTCCCAAACTAAAGAAGCTCCAGCTATGCAATCCATTTGGGAGCCAAAAGCCTTCATCGTGAATCGCTCTTTCTGGGCTTGTCCAAAAGTGACCATCGAATGTGGCCTGGACCGCTGAGGTCTTCGGGAATCGGACCGACCTGCGCTGAGGGTCATGGGTTTTTGGCCTTCTAGTAACAAGTGCCACGCTAGTAGTAACAGGTGCCTTACTAGTAGTAACAATGCTTGCTATTAATTTGAGTTTAATTTAATTCTATAAACTAAGCGAGTTTCTCCAGGGAGAAAGTCTGTCAGGAGTCGTTGGGACATCTTGACAGTGGAAGTCGTCGGTAAATCGGTTTCGGTTGCAACATCGAACATGACAATCAACCTGGCATGATTATCTGATGCATCCCAACACCATATCACGCCACCATGCTATCATGTTTGGAGATTTCAGTCAATCCGAAGCTGCTTCCGCACTGAGCCTCCTCGACTTCGGCTATCATTCCGGCTGCGGCTTCTGCGGCTACTTCGCCAGCTACGGCTTCGCCGACCCTGACATGTTTGATTCGCAGGTGAGATTATTAAGCGAGAACAGCAGGAAGCCCAAGCCAGGCCGCAACAACGTGTCTTGAAGGGATATATATATATATGCTTTATCAGGAAGTCCAAGAATGTGCTGAAAAGTTTGCAGACGGATGTCCCTGCAAGTCTTTTCTTTTTGGGTCATCCCTTCAGCTGGTCCCCCTGCCTGTGGGCTGCGTCGAGACTCCCGCGAAAAGCTGCGCCCTCAAGTTGGGCCGGTAGTTTGAAAGAATGGTCAACTCCTCAGTCAGTCATGTACTAGTTTATCCAAGCTAAGCTTCCCTTTCACGTTCTCTGTTGCGGCTTGAATCATTGAAGCTCAGGATCAGTGGAGACGCAACATGATCACACCAAAGCCAAGGCAGCCAAGGTGTGGTTTGTCACCCATGTACAGTATACAAACCTCTATTCAAGGATCGAAGCATCGTGTGGAACCATACAAATCATCCATGTTGGCTCATTTGATGCCATCAAGCCACGACGGCTGTTGCGATGTCGAGATCGGCTGGGACTACGGCTGTCTCGCCTTAGCGGTCTGTCATGATTGGATGATTGGATCGTCATGACATGTCACGGCCACTTGGCGGTCAAGCTGGACAGTAGTGCTGCCATCTAAGTCCACCCCAGGATAGCCCAGGTAGGTTGAGACCGACAAACAATCTTCCTTTCGATCAAGCTTCTGAGAGCGCTTCCCATGCCTCATGACCGGAGCATATTAAAGCCTGCTCACTCCATGGCAGGGCACAGCGAACTTCAGCAGTAAGAGCCGTGTCGAGGCATGTTTAGGACAGAGTTGCTCAAAAAGACACTTGGGAGGCTCAGCTGTGAGTCCAAAGATATCATGCATCCTCCGGCATTGGTTTGTGAATGCCCAAGAGTCCAGGAGCCGTGCTTTGTCATTGTCTAGAACATTCCAACTGTATAGGGTCTACAGTCAACACCTCACCCCAAGTAGGGTTATAGCATTTGCACAGAGTATTGGTTCCCCGAAATTGGGGAGTAAGCATGACTATCAATCCGAGGCGATGGCCAACCGCCACCTCGGACGGGAATGATCCCCCTGAACTAGATGATTTCTTGACAGGCTAGAGCCAGAAAAGCCACGGTTGCACACTCAAGTACGGCTTACACAACCCATTGAGGCCTGAGAAGGATGCGCCAAACCAATCAATCCTGGTGCAAAGACTCAGCAAATTTCACTATCAACATTCTCGTTGGCACAGGTAACTGCATTGAGGGCACCAGAACACCTGTTGCTCTACGTGGTAAGGCATCTGAAGGGACTTGAGCAGCAGCGGGGCACGGCCAGGACTGCATCTACACTGATCTTGGCAAGCTGATCTTTGCGGCTGCTCACCACCTTGGAAGATTCGGCATCCATGAAGACCCCAAATGGCCGTAATTACTCTACCAAGTCCTGCAGTATGCAGGTTGTTTACTGTCAACTAAATGTTCAAGACCACACTGACACCGATTTTCTAGTGTGAAACTGAAGAATCTTCTCCACCTTTTGGAAGCGAGAAACTCAACCGCATTTGCTGCAAAGTGTGCAATATTTACTGCGGCATAGTTAACAGATTTGTGTGTTCATAGGCAGTCAATCTTTGGTGATCCGACACCACGCATGTATCATTAATAGCGATGCCTTCCCGGAAAGTCTGCGCTCCATCAGCCCAAATCCCCACCTTTGACCCCAAGGCAGTGCTGGCTGCTTTTCGAAGCGCTGCGCGGTCCTCAGAAAGACAAGGGCTTTGTCCATGTGTCCCAGGAAAAAGTGTTGCTAAACATAACACCTGTCCACAAGACAAGCCATTTGCGTTCAAGGCACATCTGCTTGAATGTCTACAACCTTCGCAATCTCCTCCACTTTCTTCACAGCCACCTGGAGCTGGCCCAGCTTTCACAAACACGTTGAAGCTCAGCCAGAAGATTCAATGTTGCCATGACTTGGGTCGTTGAAGCTCAGGAGAAGTTCACAAAATCCCACGACTGGAAAAGCCCGTTGCAGAAGCGCAGATGGCAAAGACTGTACGTCCAACATCAACTGGCTTGAACCTCATTCAAGCATGTGCTCTCACCTCTACTGGCTTGCGTCGAAAGGTGGCAAGACAAGGGTTTCATGAAAACTACATTGAAATGATTGTTGCCTCTTGGGTCACCCAGAATGCAATGGCACGGAAGTTCAGGAATCTTGCCAAGATCCATGGATGCCCACCCTTATTCTAGCCACGTGGGCCATAAAGAGGATGATTCGATCTTTCCCGATGCCTCGCACGCTTTCTCGAAGCCGCTGGCAATACGCAATGGGTGGATGCCCTTCTCTATGAGGTCCAAGGACTGGCAGAACGTGCAGAAGAACTGACGGAATAAGCTATGCAGCTACTGCGCGGGCAGTCCAAGCACCGATTCGGAAGTTCTATAGGGCCCAGAGAATCCATGAGAATCCTGCTGACGGGCAGGTTACTGTCTCAATTAACAAACCTAGAAGCCTGTCAATGTATTCTACGAGCAATGCGATTCATTCTGTCCAAGAAAACTTCCAGCGATTGGAAGACGCCTTTTTCTCCTCGTTTGGTGTGAAAAAACGATTTCTGGAGGTAGGTCATTAACACTCTGGCCGCTTTGGACCAGGTAAATGGCTCACTGAGGCAAACCACCTTGGTCCCATGGACGAACGAAGCCACAGCTGTCAGAACCACTTGATCACTTGATATATTCATAGCGCATAGTTTTGGAGGAAGCTGCTATTTCAGTTCTGCTTTCGCTCCGTATTGAAATCAAGCGCCTAGGGACCTAGAGTATGTTTGGGTTGCATGCATTTTGTGGCAAAGCGGCTTTGCTGGTCCTTTCCCACACAGCCTAGAATAGGTGTTCGTTATGTTCGTTGGGAAACCAATCGGATAGAGGCTTGCTTTCGGAAACTCTCCCAAACATCTCCCAAAGTCATCATGTTCGTCAAGTCCCAGAGTCTCCCAAAGCACTCTTGGGCCCTCTGGCGCCATGTCATCGAGGCAAAGGTGGTGGCGGGTGCCACTTCGAGACATTTGCCACCACCTTCGGCTCGATCTCTACAGGACCTCAGCTCTGCCTTACCGCAGGTGAGCTCACCCATTGACTCGTGAACGAAAGCGGGATGCACACTTCATAAGGCCCATCCAAGGAACATCTCAACCTTATTATTTTCTGTGGGCCAGGTACAGCAAATGATTTCACGAAGATTCCACCAAATGCAGGAACGACCACTGTGACCACTGTAACCATCCCTTCTTCCGAAGCTCAAGCCCTGGACCAGCCGCCCAGCCTTTGAAGTTCATGTTGCTGATGCGTCTCATCTCAGCAAGCAACATGAACTCAACCGGAAAAAGGCCAGTACTCGCCCATTCACATGACGCCTGAGTCAAATACCCAATCAGTGACGAAGTATTGTGGATCCGGTGAGGACATCTTGGAGGCCTGCACGAAAACACTGTGATGAAATCAATTGGATCACACAGAGTCTGGATCAAAAGGGCAGGCGGCAAACCATATGAGGATGATAAAAGGAAAATCAGAAGCTTGGTAAAGTGCATACATCCTTCACAGTTAGGCTAGATGCAGTTTATAAATATGTAGCTGCTCTTGCTCGGATGGATGGCCAAACGCCCTTCGTTCGCAATCAAAAGGAAACTGTCCACTAGGATCCCATACAGCCAAGTGCTGTCAGGCAGGAGATCAAAAAACACGATGTAAAGAGCCCCATCACCAGCTTGACTTCAACTATATAAGGGCTTGAGGATCTTGAAGTTGCAGAATCCGTCGTCAAGTGCCTCTTCTGATTGACGCCAAAGCCAGAAGCCTGGCTTCCTAGCGATCAACTTCTGGTACCCCCCATGGGTTGAGAAGCACTGATTTGTTGTTCGAAACACTTTGCACTGGATTCACATATGAACACAAGAAACTGTACACAGAACAACGATCCGGGTGACCTGGTCACTAAGGCTGCGGCCGAGGCGGTGCAGGTGGTGCAGGGAAGAACTGGCCATAGGGGTTGTATTGGCCATCAGGGCCCCAAAACCTTGACACCTCACCTGCATGGCAGGTCAGTCTCATCACACAAGATCGCACCAATGACTCACCCAAGGTCCATAGCCACAAATCACTTAAGTGAAAGCAGGAAATATAATATATGTTCCCCATTTCCCCATGCCATCAAAGAAGAGCTTTTAACTGAGTCTCGTCCCACCGTCCCATCAAAACACGCGCTCACAGTTTGTGTATAAACACAAATCGAAACTTTAAAGCGAAGCTCCCGAGGATACAAACTGAGGTAAATTCTAATGCACCTTGGATCGACTCCCCGCACTTGGCCTGCCAGCTCTTCTTTGGCATGCCTCCGCTGCCTTCGGCCAGGTCCGCGGCGGCTGGAGCTCGCCTCACCTGCCTGGCCGACCTGGCCGGCCTGGCCATTCCGGCCAGCCTCGCGAGCCTCGCGGCTCTGGCTGAGGCCAGATCCTTGGCACACGAAGGCAAAAGATCCGAACAAGATGTGATGGAAATATACATACATACATACATACATACATACATACATTACATTACATTACATTACATTACATAACATTACATAACATTACATAACATTACATAACATTACATAACATTACATAACATTACATTACATTACATTACATCGCATTACATAACATTACATAACATTACAAAACATTACATAACATTACATCACATCACATTACATTACATTACACGCATACAAGCCCGCATGCAAACATGCAAACATGCATACATGCACACATGCAGACACGCAGACATGCATACATGCATACATACATATCTATATCTATATTTATTGCGCGTATTTACATTGTACCTATCGCCCTACCTATCTACCATACCTCTCTGCCTACCTACCTATCTATCTATTCATCTATCTATCTGCCTAGCTGTGAATATGAAAATACTGCGTATCAAGAGCGCCATCTTCGTCCAGCATCAGCTTCGGCACAGCGCGGGCGCGAGCGCGCAGCAGCCGGACAGCGCAAACATCGTTGGCCTGGGCCACCGGCGCTGCAGGCACTTCTGCGCCCACGGCGGCGCAGTCGCCACCCGCCGCCTCCACTCGACCAAGCGCAGCCACAGAGGGGATTGCACATTGCTGCTGCAAGGCGGAGTCCCGTATAGAGCCACCGCACAACTAGTTGGCGTCGCTTGCCTTGTGGAGACTTGGGCGATGTCAGGGGTATCTCTTCAGATAACGGGTCAGTCGCTTCAAGCCCATGCGTCACGCCAGGTTCTTGACCGCGTGACCGATGTCGGGCCGGTCATGTATTTGGACACTTCTGCTTCGTCAGTCTTTGCTCAGAAGATCAACGTGCTCCAAACAACCGTGAAGCATTTCAACTCATAGGCCTCGTGAGGACTTTGCCCAACGTGATCTAGTGATGTGAATCTCCCAAGAAAACAAAGTCATCACTTGGGCGTCCCAGTCCTCATACAACACTGACACATTCGACGTACCTCTTCAGAATCCTGCGTGTGGCAGGCGTTCCATAGAAGTGGGCACGCGTCATCTTCAGGTTGCCATTGCATCGCGACTCTTGCTGTCCACAAAAAGCATAGCTGTCTCATCACCTTGGACGCGGCGTACTGCTTGCTGAAAAGCAATTTTGCTGGCAGCGGCTCTCCCTCCTTCTTGCGAGCCTTGATCTCGCAAAACACGAGTCTGCTGCGATAATTGTGTATTTGTTGGGTCTCAATTGTTGTCGGGTCTCAATTTTTGGTGTCCAATGAATTGTCCAACCGCATTACTGTGGAGGCTTACCCGTTGCGCCACGCCAGGTTTGCTTGAGACAGCAAGCGTTTTCTGGGATGGGCCATTTAGTACTCAGACTCAGTCCCAAAAAGCTCCTGTTATTGAGCGCCCTCTGCACCCTCTGTCTTTGGAGCATAGGCCAGCTGCCACGCGAGCAAGTTGCAAGCTCGAAGTGATCAGAGTGAGACCCTCTGCCCACCCGCCCATAAAATCAGAGGGTCGAACAGGCCCCTTGGTCGGAGGCTCCAAGGCCTCATTGCGAAACCTCATAACCAGCTACGACGTGAAAGCTGAGCGGAAGGCACATACGGATCGAACACTGGCTGCGCGACAAATCCCAAACCTTCCTGGGAGCACAAGGACCGTCGCTCAGCCGCAAAAAAACAGCTTGTCCAAAATCCAAAAGCTCTGCAGCACCAACCACGCCTAACATTGAAGCCACGCGCGCCCCAGAGTTAGTAAAAAATTCACCCGCTGCACCGCCACATAGAAAACAGACGACAAAATTCTAAGCTTAGTCAAAACCTACGAAATCAGACCGAAGTCACCTGACCACATGTTTCTCAAGAAGGAGTCAAGGCTGAAAAAGGTGGCCCCCTTCACCTTTCTGTCTGTAGTATGAGAGTCGCACGGAGGCATCGTACCAGCCAGGAACAAAAACAGGAGCAAGGTCACGAATCTCAATGCGGCTCATGACAAGGCAAGGAGTCAGGGCTCTACGCGATGAAAGGCGTTGAAGCGCGAAGTCCCATGTCAACAGCAGCCATCGGAGAGCCAGCAGAAACACTTGAAGTGCTCATGTGGAGGCACGGCGTCACTAAGTTGACCCTCGGAAAGTTGAGGACAGGCATCAACATGAGCATCAAGAAGTGGCAAGTGAAGTGTCCATCTTCCTTCCATCTGAACATCAAGAAGCGTCAATCTTCTTTCCATCCTGCCATTGCGTCACTCAGTTGACACTGGAAACAGTGAAGACACGCTTGTAACATTCTGCTGGAAGACATTCTGCCGTCACGAGTCTGTCAACGTCAGGGGCTTCAACACGTCTTGATAAGTAATCAAACCTGACGCAACGTACTAAAAAATCCAGACAGGCTTTTTAAGACACATGCGCGCACTAGACGATACGAATACAAAGCATCTTGCCCGCCCCCCCATAAAGCCCCCTTGAAATACGCATGTTTGCGCCAGACAACGCGAAAGCAAGCGTCTTGCACACCCCCACCACAAAACCCCCCTGCAAATACACGCGCGCGCTAGACGACGCAAAAGCAAGCATTTTGCACCCCCCGCGAAACCCTACACGCGCGTGCACAAGACAACACGCAGGCACCACCCCCCGAACCTTCACTTGAGATACACATGAAGGTGCGCGACGAACCCTCGGAAAAATAGCATAGGACCGTTCTGAACTCGAAAATCCACTGCGTTCTATGTTCCGAAAAGTAACGTTGCAAAAGCACGTAAAACGCATGTTTCAAACAGTGAAAATGATGCCGTTCGTACTGCTGTCTAAAATTTTGTGCGTAAACCCGTCTGGATATGCTCTATATATATATAATATGTGATATTGTAGAAATATGATGCGATAGTGATATTATAGAAAGGCTAGCGCCCTGGCGCCGCCGACCCCAGTTAGTGGGCCAGAATCCAGGCAGATGAGCTGCCTGCACGCGCTTTCGAGACATGTTGCCGGCGCTGGCGCTGGTGCTGTGAGCTGGCTGCGGCGCTGGGCGCCGTGAGCTGGCTGCGCGTGGTGGAGACAGGGCGCCGGCGTTGGGCGCTGTTGCTGGCTGCACGCGTGGTGGAGACACTGCGCCGGGCGCTGGGGGCGCTATGAGCTGGCTGCGCGCGCGGCGGAGAGCGGGCGCCGGCGCTGGGCGCTGGCGCTGGCTGCGCGCGTGGTGGAGAGCGGGCGCCGGCGCTGGGCACTGGCGCTGGCTGTGCGCATGGTGGACACAGGGCCGGCGCTGGGCGCCGGTGCCGGGAACAGCGCAGCAACGGAAGAAGCTCCGACACCCATGCCCCCGCTGCACGACGGTGTTTTCCACGGTCGCTCGTGGACGCATCAAAAAGAAGACAAAACGCCCGGCAAGCTGCCTTCGAAGCCCTATAGAATAGTAGAAATAAGTGGAAAGAGGTGTAGGCCAGCAGCAGGGAGGTGTTCTAGGCCGGTGTCAGCAGGCCAAAACACCTGGCCCTGAAGGTCTCAACAGAGGCTTTCTTCTAGGCCGGCATCGCCAGGCCCAAACACCCCGGCCTGAAGGTTTCAATGGAGCAGAGAGCGACCGTTGCCAGTGACTAGCGTTGCCTTCGAAGCCCTATAGAAAATATAGAAAAGAGGTGTGGGCCTGCCTAACGTTGCCTTCGAAACACACCAAGGAAACTTCTTCTAGGCCGCTGTCGAACACCAGGGTCGCCAGGCCCAAAAACCCTGGCCCTGAAGGTTTCAACGGAGCAGAGAGCGACCGTTGCCAGTGCCTAACGTTGCCTTCTAGGCCTGCCTAACGTTGCCTTCGAAAGAGGTGTAGGCCAGCACCAAGAGCAGGTGAGAGGTGTTCTAGGCCGGTGTCGCCGGGCTCAAACAACCTGGCCCTGAAGGTTTCAACGGAGCAGAGAGCGACCGTTGCCACTGCCTAACGTTGCCTTCGAAGCCCATAGAGAGATTCGAAAGAGGTGTCTAGGCCAGCACCAGGCTGCCAGCGCCAGGGAGAGGTGAAGGTTTCAACGAAGCAGAGAGCGACCGTTGCCACTGCCACACCCTAGCAGGCAGGTGGCCATCGCTGCTCGCTACGCTATGGCAGGCTTCAGCTAGGCAGGGGTCGGCGGATATGTATATATATACATATATATACAATATGTGATATGATATTATGTGTATATATATATATGTTTTTTAATAAGTATATCAAAGTATACCACTCAACGTACGTGCACCCCTCAATATGTTGAGCTACCTTGTAGATCTTTTAGGAGTGGGGATGTTCCCAAATCCAGCAAACCCCTCAACGGTTTTGGCTAAACTCGGAAGGCAGCAACCCACTGGACCAACCTTGCCTGGGTGACCCCACGATGCTCCTTCGCCTCCTGCTCAGCAATCCGCTCTGCCTCTAATTGAGCCTTGGTCGGGCGCGATCCAACAAGCTGCGGCCATCCGGTTTCAAAGAGAACCGGATTGAGGACAATTGCCTCACTCTCACTCCGTCTTGAAAAGGAAGGGACCGGATCCCTTCGACTGTTTTGGCATAAGAGGGCTATAGTGCCTCTCTCAACCTGTCATTATACAACAACAAACACAAACATGTTAGGTTCTCAGTCCGGTTTGGTCCTCCGTCCCAATCTCAGCTCCAGACACTGCTTTTCATGAAGCGAGGATCCAACCTGTCGTGGGTAGGAGACCGAGGTGGCATCTCCTTGCTTGTCCTATCATTGTTTTTCATCAGCATCCATAGGCACGGCACCACCATTTTGCAACGCTACTCGTGTGTTTATGCCGGTATTTGAAATGGCTGAGCTTGGGCTAGCAGGTGACTTTGAAGAGCCAGAACTGTACAAGAAACGAACAGCACCAAAGCGTACCAGCATTTGCTGGCGCCCTCAAATTCCGCAAAAAAAGAACATGCACATACATGCCCACTCAAGCGATTGCACTGGCACTTGGATGTCATGCAGGCACGTAACTCCAGTCAGATCGTCGCGCTGCTCTGAAGTCAAAATGTTGTGGAATGCTCTAAAGAGAGAAAATAAGATCTCGGCCATGCACCCTGACGCTAAATGAGAGGTTGTCTAAAAATCCCTTGATGACTCCTCTGGCGAAAGGATGTCGGCCAGCTTCTTCCTGTAATGCCCGATGCATCTCATCCCAGTCTTCAATTTGGAAGATCTCCAGAATTCGCTCCTTGGTTGCATCCCTTTTCTCTCGCCGTGGTCGAGCTTCTTTGGCATGGGAACCATCATGCTCATGGCAATATGGGCATGTGTCGCCTTTTTCACAGCCTCGTCGGGAGAAGAAGAACACGCAAGGATTGCAAGTGTGCCCCGGCTGAACTCGGTCCTGGCAAGTCGCTGTATGAATATCCAATGATGCATTCATATGGTTTGGTCAGTGAACTTGATGTCTGTGCTTCTTGAAGGGAGAGGTGTGGGACGCTATTCTGTGGCGGAAATATCCCAACCTTCCCTACTCAAGCAGTCTTTGATCTGGAGAGTTGCCAGGACCTGTCTCGACAAACTAGCGTGCTCTTCCACAACACTGATGGCCTGTGGCGGGGGGGTGTATTTTGTTCGTCATCACACTCTTTCAGTCCTAGAGTTGTCGGCCAAACCCGAAAGCACAGCACGCAATACGACCAAAAACGTCTTTGTTCACGATCTGATCTCACCACCAAAAGTGATTTCCCATCAGTCCATTACACTGTGTGTATGTGCCGCTCCTGTGCGTGTAGGTTGCCTCCTTCAGGTACAGAGCTGTTCTCCCCAGAGGAAGCCATCCAGCTAGCCCAAAGCAGCACCGCCGGTCACCGCGGTGTCTATTTAGTAGCTTCTTGTTCCTAGTAGCGTCTTTGCTCCTAGTAGTAAGGCCAGGAGCCCCTTAGCTGTATGTTTCATAATGATTCCCGGTACTGTGTCCAACTGTGCTCAGCTGAACCTACTCGCGGCCTGTGGGCCGCTCAAACTCCATCCAACCCAACTATAAACTCAACAGTGCCGTCAAAGAATTTTGAGCCAGGAAAAGTGTTGGACATTAGAGGAATTTGCCCTACACTACCGTAAATAACTGCATTGGCAGCAGAAGCAGCTTCAAAATGCCAAATGCTTGAATTCTGCGCATGTTGAACACGCACATTCTTGTCCGGTCCGGCCGGATGTCCAATTCCACTGTGTGCGTAAGGGTGTAAAATCTGATCGTATGAGCACTCCACGCCGCCTGTATGTGACCAGACATTGTGAGAATGCACAAAGCACAAACTTTCCTAAAGTATGTCCCAGTATGATACAGTATGTCCATATCATGTGAAAGTCCATTCAGCCTTGACATGCATGCTTCTTGAAGGCGCGCATGCCCTTCCAAGACCACTTGAACAGCACACTTCCCTCAGCCTGCAATTGGGCAAGCATGGCTGCCCTGAGCCCTCAACACCTGTTCAAGCGATTGTTTCCAGGGCTTCCGAAAAGGGAAAGTGTCTGTATGATTAACCAGTTCTTTACCATAGTCCCACTCCAAAGCGAAAGACCAGAGAGAAGAAACCTGACTGAATCCTCTTTGGGTCATTAAGAGGCCACCCCATCAGCCCCACATCCCATATGAAGAGGCTTTTTTCAGATGTTCTCCCGTTTCCCCGAGCCTCCGGTGGTGCAACAAGTAGGCACTCCGCCTTCCTGTCTGGGTATTCCTTCCTGCCGGCGGATGTGCCAGGGGTTGGTCCCCTCAACTTGATGCCTGCGGATGTGGAAAACCCTCGAAAGTGAAAGGGCCCTAAGACATTTCACACCAAAGACTCTAAGGCCTTGCTCTAGTACCAAGAGTAGTGAGTCTAGTACCAGGTCTAGTACTAGTAATGATAGAGTTGTGAGCTGCAAAATCAGTTCCACCATGTCAAGCCCTTGGCGCCCGCGGCCACGCTGGCCTCATCGATCTGAATCTCTGCGAAGCTGCTGCGCCGCGGCCAGCCCAGCTGGTAGCCCAGCTCCAACTGGCAGACTGTTAGTTTTGACGTGCGCCTTGCATTGCGCATTTGGGCTGTTTGTTTTTGTCCATTTGTACGATCTTCATGTTGTGCACCCTGAGACTCCTGGCTACTGAATTCTGAATACTTGCGCATGACCATCCAACAGTTGGCCTGGTGCAGCAGGGGCATGGCCTCAGCAACAATTCGAGCAATCCACAGTTTCCAAGACAAGTCTCACGTCCCACATGCGAGAGCTTTTGTTTGGCCGCTATGAGCTACTATTATGTAATATGTGCTGTTGGTCTCTTTTCTTATGGCCGTGGCCCTAACTCCTTACCTAATTAAGTGGGCGCCTACTTGATTCCTACTTAAGAGGGCAGCATGCCAACCTCAAACTTGGTAACCGAGGACCACAGCTGGATGGAAACATGATGTATACAAACTTGGTAACCTTGTTCATCAATGTTCAAAGTTCCTCCCTTTGGAAGATGCAAATTCCCATCAGCCCACTCCAGGCCCCAGCAAGTCAAACGCGCAGCTTCGGCGGGTCGCATCCCATGGGCCAGATCGCATGAACCCGGGCGCTACACACGTGAAAACTTGCACAAGAAAGGACAGCAAAAAAATATAAACATCTTGTTTCAGCCATGCACCAAAGTAGATTAGCCACTGTACTAGTAAGATGATGCGGTTTGAAGCAGCTTGAAGCCAAATGACAAGTGACATGTTCGGGAGTTCCAAGCAAACAAAGACATGTCAATGTCGAGGAGATCCGGCTACAATGCATCTATGCTTGGGGTTTGGAACATCATCGCCCCCGCTGGTTGGCAACTCTTCGTGAAATAGTTTAAAGCAAGATGTCAACCCTCTTGATGCTGAACCCTGACCGAATTACGAATTTGCTTCGGACTGGATCGCCAGTCCTGCCAAAAACTCCAGGTGCCACAAGTCCAACGCCCATGGGTCCAACGCTCGGGGTTGCGAATATATTTCTGGATTTTTTCGTTTTTTTTTGTTTTTCGTGTTTCGTGGCAGGTGCAGTACTTTGTGGACCTTGCAAAGCACATTTCGTGGCAGGTGCAGGACTTTGTGGGCCTTGGAGTGCAGAGTTTGTGGCAGGCGCAGGACTTTTTGTGGGCCTTGAAGTGCAGATTTCGTGGCAGGTGTAGTACTTTGTGGCCCTTGGAGTGCAGATTTTGTGGCAGGCACAGGACTTTGTGGACCTTGAAGTGCAGATTTCGTGGCAGATGCAGGACTTTGTGGGTGTGGAAGTGTAGAGTTGGTGGCAGGTGCAGGACTTTGTGGGCCTTGGAGTGCAGATTTCGTGGCAGGCGCAAGACTTTGTGGACCTTGAAGTGCAGATTTCGTGGCAGGTGCAGTACTTTGTGCAGTGTGCTGGCAATCCCGGGTGACTTTCCTCTGAAGACATGAAGCCCTTGAAGCCTTGAAACCCTGCTGACGACCTGAAGCCTAGTGACGACCTGAAGCCTTGAAGACCTGAAGTGTGGTGACGACCTGAAGCCTTGAAGACCTGAAGCCTGGTGACGACCTGAAGCCTTGAAGACCTGAAGCCTGGTGACGACCTGAAGCCTTGAAGACCTGAAGCCTGGTGACGACCTGAAGTCTTGAAGACCTGAAGCCTG